GCTGGCGCCGCGCGCTCGAGCTCGGCGGCAACGGCGTCGTCGCCGCGCTCGTCGACGGCGTCCTCGTCGCGGCGTCGGAGCGCGTGCAGCACCACCACGCGACGCTCGTGCCCGTGCTCGCGCGGTCGCCCTTTGGGTTCGCCGTGCTGCGGCGCACGCTGGCCTTCGTCATGCAGCTGTCCGCGTCCATCGAGACGCCGCGGCTCAGGCTCGCCGTCGCCGGTCTGGCGCCCGGCTGTGCCGAAACCAACCACTGGTTTGGGTGGTCCTGACCAAACTTGAGAATTCTCTAGCTCGGTCAAATCAAAGTCGATTCGGCTGATTTTTGGACGGATCGATCGCTCTCGTCGAGTTCTCGAAGCCCAGCCGAAGAGCTTGTGTCAAAACATTCGAATACGCTCACATTGAAGTCGGGTTGAAGATTTGAATTCGGCACAGGCGCCCCGCGGCTTCCTCGCGACGGTCGACGGCGACGACGACGTCCGCGTGGACGCGGACTACTGCGCGCGCCTCGACGCGTCCGTGCGCCAGCTCGTGGACCTGGACGTCGTCATCGAGCGGCGGGTCGCGCCCTACGCCGAGGCCGCCGCGGCGCTCCGCGGCGCGTCGCTCAAGGCGCTCAAGGCCGCGCACGAGCCCGCGGCGGACTGCCACTTCGCCGAGGTGCGCTTAGGCGAGGCGGACCGCGACGTCCACGGCTTCCACGCCGCGCGGCGAGCCGGCGCGCCCCTCGCGGCGTCGTCGAAGAAACTCGACGGCTTCGACTTCGCGCTCCGGCCCTGCGGCGACGGCCGGACGCTGTTGGTCGAGCTCGCGCGGCCGCGGCCGCGGGGCGGGCCCGGCGCCGACGCGACGCCCCTCTGCTGCGGCCTCAGCGCGGGCGCCGAGGGCGAGGCCGAGGGCGCCGCGAGCCTCGCGGCGCGCGGCTCCTGGACGTCGAACGGCGCCGACGACGGCGCCGCCGACGGCGCCGCCGCACCGCCCGCGACCCTGCTCGCCGCGGGCGACCGCGCGGCCGTCCACGGCCTCGACTGCGCGGGCACGCTCAACGCGCTCGCGCGGGCCCACGGCGACCGCGTGCTCCGGGACCGCGTCGCGCTCGCGCAGGCGTCGCTGGACGCCGCGGCGTCGGACGCCGCCGCGGGCGTCGCGAAGGCCCGGGAGCCGACGGCGCTCCTCGTCGCCGGCGCCGTGGGCGCCGGCGCGCCCTGGCTCGCGGCGAAGCTCGCGACCATGCTCCGGGGCCGCGGGC